GATCTGTGCTCTGCATGGACTCAGGACACTGCCCATGGAGAACACAGTATGTTACCGGGTACAAGAGATCAGAATGGACAGATTGTCCCTGGAAACCTCAGTCTGTACATCTCCTGTTAGGGAGGATCTGTGGGGGAGTTGTTAATCCCAGCAGGATAACTCCTCTGCTGTCCTCTGTCAGGTGGAGCCGATGTGTCTGTGCATCTCTGCAGGTCCTGGGGCTGCTTGGGCAACCACCAGGGCTTCAGGTACCAGTACTGCTTCCCAGAAAGCCACTGCTTAGTGGCAGGGGAGGACAGATATCTTGTGTGCTCAGTGAGGATCTCTGTGGATACTTCATCTGGGCACACATCCCTTCCCTTCTCTGGGAGCTCTGAGAGACAGCTCTGTGTTGATTTACCCCAATTTTATCACTGCTCCATCTCTTCCTCAGGTTTCCTGCAGGAAGGTGTTATGATCTTTTTCTGAGAGCACCTCACACCATGGCTGAGAATCAGGTACGCTTCTTAGGCCCTGCCCAAAAGGAGTGTTTTGCACCACTGCTCATAAATGGAGGTGTGCTGCAACCCCAGCCCAGCTGATTGTTATTCCTGGTGATTAGCTAATTGCTTCCAATTGCCAAAAACAGTCATTGAATTCACGCTGTGATTTCTATGTCACTCGGGGAGAAGGGGCAGGTGTGGGAGGGGCAAGGGGCAAGTTGTGTTTGCCAGGCTGACAAGGACAAATGGTGCTGCAGCAAAGCACTCAAATCATCCCACAGTTCATTTCTGCTGTTTGTATTGAACCAAGAGCAACATCCAGGGGAAGAAGGGTGCAGAATTTCCCTCTGACTAATGCTGCTGGATTGTGCAGGGCTGTGGGGGAACTGCCAGCCAGAGAAACCATCAGGAGGGGAAAGGAAATGGAAAGGGAATCTAATTATCCATCTGCAAAGACAGACGCTGGTCCCGACGCAGGGCCCAGCCCTGGGCAGGCCGGTGTGGGCAGTGACGTTTGCACGGACGGTTTTTATGGTGAGGCCGGGAAGCGGCTCCCGGGGGTCCCCTCTGGGATGGCAGATGGTCCAGCACATCCCGGGGAGTCGCCTGAGACTGGAAGCCACAGGGCTGCTTTTGCTGGGAACGCTGCCCCATGCTGGGCTGGGAGGGACAGTGCCCTGCAGCCAGTCCGGCTGTGCCTGCAGCACGGGCAGGGCTGTGCAGGGAGGAGGGTGCGTGCCTGGCTCCCTCTCAGCAGGTTCGTCTTGATCAGAGGGGCTGGTGCCACAAGCCCAAGGTGGGGAAGGAAGGTGGAGGTTCTCATGTGGCTCTGCCAGCTCAGCGTGCAGGGGACTGTGCCTCGTGTTCCTCCGTGGAACTGCGCTGGGCCAGCCCAGCAGGGAGGGACGGTGGGAGGCTGGAGCCTGGGGGTCTGAGCACTGAAGGGAAACCTACAGGAGACGCCCTGGGAAGGAGAAGGGGCCTCTACCTCCTTGTCTGCAGAGCTTTTTGGGGTTATTACTCACACGGGCTAAAGCCAGCTTTCTTCTCTTTGGGCACTTCCCAGGAGTGAAGGTTGCTTTAGAGAGCTGCCTTTTCCTCCTTAACTAACGGAATTAAAAATTAAGAGTTAAGAGTTAAGAGTAGGCTTATTCTCCTCTCTTGTGGGCATCAGCTACTCCTAAAGTTATGTTAATTGTAGCTGGGAGATCCACATAGAGGTTGGGAGCCATCCCAAGACAGTTTGCTTTCATTCTCCCACTACTGTTTTCAGGAGCCTGCTGGGTTAAGAAAGACCTTGCAGACCTGGGAGTATCAGTGAGATGGGTGAACTGGGGATGAACCAGAAGCATCCCTGATTGAGTGAAGCATCCTTTTTCCTGTCTTACTTGTCCCCTGCCTTGCTCCTCAAGGTCAGTGCTCAGTGTGCTGTTTGCAGGGGTGGTGCCCCAGCCTGGATTGTCTTCCCCGGTGCTGCCTTTGGGTTTGCTCCCGCTGGCCCAGGTGGGAGTGTCTCCCATGCTCAGAGGCCGGGATGTCCTCTCCGGGTCAGGATTCAGCCTCTGGGGTAGACAGGCCCGATCCTGCATCCCTTACTCACGTGAGCAGTCGTCTCTATCTCAAAGGGACTACTCGGTGAGTAAGGATCGCAGGATTGGGACCACTACCTGTAACTTAAACTGGACCTTCTGTAGGATCCTGTCCCCAGCCTTTTCCTGTTCGTGTATGTTAACATGCATCAAGAGCTTCCAAAACTGCTGGTGCTCTTGTCATTTGGATGGAGAACCTGAGAGCTGGAAGAAGCAGTGCTCTTGCACTTCAGAGGATAAATCACCATTATCTTCCATGCTCTCCTACCAAACAGCTCCAAGCCCAGCCAGCTTCTGTGCCACAGAGCAACATGTACCTGTTTGTCTCCCACGTGTTGCTGTTCCTGGCTTCCCAGGGCTGGCAGGGCTCTCCTTCTCTCTGGTTTTCCCAGCTGTAGCTTTGAGATGAGAGCCCGGGATTCTGTTTAAGCCTGATTTGTGCTGCAGAGCTGGAGAATGAAGCAGGGGGAGAGATGAGCAGTGGTAGTGCTGAGACTGCCGCAGACCTTCCTGCGCCACTTGGTTTCTCCTCCTGTCTGAACAGGCTAAATTTGGAAACCTCCGCCCTGTGCTAAGGTTTTGAATGCATTCACAATCGGAGGTGTCCGTGCCTGTGACCCTGTGTGAGGTGGAAGCAACGAGGGGGGCGGGTTTGAGCCGCACGTGGATTTCTGCGTGGCCCTGGCCGGGGAAGGGCTCGGACACGGCCCTGCCGCGGGCCGGCTTCTCCCTCGCGTGGAACGAGCCGGTACCGCAGCGGCTCCTCCGGGGAGGGGACACACAGCGACCGGGCTGTGCCAGAGATCCAGCCGCCTCCACGGCTGCCCGGTTTGTTACACCCTGCAGGTTATCCGAGATGAGAAGCTGATGTAGGGAGCGCTGTGAACTCGCTCCAGAGCGAGTCACGAGTTTAAACAAGTGGGAGGCAATTTATGGTCGTTGGTCCTTTTTGAGAGCTGGAAGTGGAAGCATGGCATGAGTCACACTGTGCTTCTTGGGAAGCACGAGGCACTTCAAGTGGAAGCAGGGAGCACAAATACCTTTGGAATGGAATTTGATAGATTTCTGGAGGGATTAGGTGACAAAACAGCAGTGATCCTTGAGCGGAAATTAAAGCTTGACTTGTGGGGTAGGTAAAAGAGAAGACAAGATCTTAGTTGCTGTGTGGATTGTGCTTGTGGCACTGAATGTACAGGGTATTAATCCTGTGCTTTGGGATTTCTTCACCTCTGGCCTGGTATCTTGCTTTTCCTTGAGCATCAAGGAATGAAGCCTGGCTAAAGTGTCAGGGCTCTGATGCTCCCAGTAGCGACTCACATGGAGCCTTGCTTCCAAGTTCAAGGTTAAATTAATCATCAGAGTTTAGATCAGCAAGGCATTTTCCCTTTGATCAGGTCAGCAGGAGCCTCAGGGTGAGTGTGCAGCTCTGCTGGTGATGGAGCAGCAGAGTTCAGACTGTGAGGCCCATGAGACTCATCTGTCTGAAGTCAGCACTGACTTTCCATGTAGCAGGAGAGGAGGCAGCAGGAGAAGAAGGTGGGAACTGAGTCCTGGAGGTTCCCAGCTCTGCACCTGCAAGGAGGATACCTGCAGTTCCTCAGCCTCCATCACCCTGGTCCAAGGTGGGAGTGGTTTTACTGCCTGCTGCTGCTCCTGTTCAACTTGACCAAAGAGCTTTTCTGGAACTGCCCTTCCCATCATCCTAGAAAACAGCCAGGAAGAAAATTTCCCTTCTGTGGGGAATTCTGAAAATAGCTTTGTCCGCTTCAGAGGAAAAGACATAAATGCTGTTATTACATGGCTCTGCTGCCCCTGCCAAGCCATGGATGTGCCGTTTCACAGCTCTCCGGCTCAGCCAGCCTGGCTGGGTGCATCCCTGGGGGACCCTGGTCCTGTTGCCCGGCTCTGTGCTGCTCAAGAGCGTCTGTCTGGATCAGGCTGAAGATTTTTCCTTCCGTGACATGCTCCTGGTTGTTCACTGAGGATGGAGCCTGAGCACTGCAGCCCCTGGGCCACAGCATATCTGCCAGAAACCTGGTGCCAGCCAGACTTGGGGTCGTGATGGAGACACTGGGTTGTGGCCCCAGGGTGACCAGTGCAGACCCTGCAAGTCAGGTGCTCTGTGGAGCCACTGCCAGAGACCTGCAGTTCCCAGAGCAGCAGTGAGAGCTCTGGGAGCAGGGCAGGAGTACGGCTGAATGTGTCCTTCCCATTGGTGAGCAGAGAGTTGCTCAGGAAGTTGTGTGGCAAGGGACAGGTTCCTCCAGCACCACCAGTGCTGTCATCTCCTGTCACTTCATTATACATGCTGTGGTATTACCCCCCAGTTGGTTTCTATGGCTGCACAGAAAGGTGGAAAGCAGATCTTATAGGTAGGTTCAGAACCCAGACTTGAAGTTTAAATTAATTCTGTGGTGTGCTGGGTTTGTCTGCTTAACAAACACGCAGATACTTCCTTGTTCTGAAATGTCTTCAAAGCTTGGTTGTAAGGTCCAGAATACATCCAATTTGCTATTCCAATTGGATTTAGAGATGAGGCTGCAATAGGGTCTGGACAACAGATGAACCTGCACCGTGTGGAAGCAGATCCAAATCAACGAAAACTAGGATCTGGGGGCTACGTTTGGGCCCTGCTTTTTGGGAGCTTTCCGAACCACTGAGACCTTCACCAACAGCCATAATCGGCACATTTTGGTGAGAGCAGGTTTCCTCCAGCAAACCTTTGTCTCAGCTGCGTCAGGCAGGATCTCTGCTGAAATCCCGCAGCTGAGCGAGCCCATCTGTCAGGCGGAGCCGGGCTCTGGCAGGGACCGCATCCGGCCCGTGCGCGGCCCATCCGCGGGACACTGCGGCGACATCGGCCCGGCCGCCCTGGCCTTTGTCCTGTCCTCCCGCAGGCTCCTCCCGCGGCACAGGCGGAGGCAGGAAATCCCGGGCAGCTGCCTGGGAGCCTGGGAGCCTTCCCCTGCCGCTCCTCGCCTCTCCGCCTCGCCTCGGCCCCGCGGCCGAGCCGGCCCCGCGTGTGTGCGCGCGTGGGCGGGGGGGCTGCCGCATGGATTTGGCGAGGGCTGGCCGGGAACACATGGGTTGGGGTGCTGCGGCTGGCCCGCGGTGGCTGTCCGTCCGTCCCGCCGGCCGCGCTCATGGACGCGATCATCCTGCAGGAGCGGCTGGTGGAGCGGCTGCTGTCGCCGCGGCCGCAGGCACCGCGGAGCCACCCGGGCCGGCTGAAGGTACGGGGTATTTATAGCGCTGCGCGACCCGGGGAGCAGCGGGACACGGGGGGAGGATGGTGCCCGAGCAGCCGTGTGCGGCACAGGATGAGCCCTCCGAGGAGCAGAGGAGCGGCAAGGCGCCGGTAAGGGAGGGATGGCGGGGACGGGAGGCAGGGGAGCAGCCCCCGGGGAGCGGGGCCGAGGGGCGAGCGGCGCAGCCGGAGATGTGGGAGATGTGCGACATTTTGGTTATTTGGTGCAGCGATTCCCTCCGCGAATGGCGTTTGTGCGCTGGGGGGGGCTCAGGGCGGGAGGCAGCGCCGTGTGCCCACACGCAGTCCGGTTTGTGTTTGTTAATTAACAGCGTGTTAATGCCGTGCTTTGCTGGCCCGCGTTCCTTCTCTGCAGCGAGCGCTGGTGGGCGAGTAGTTGCCGAGGCTGCTCAGCCCCAGGCCCGAGGCGCAGATGTCCGCGGCAGATGCCCGGGGCTGCTCGTGGCTCTGTGCGGTGAAAGGACGCAGAGGGTCCGGCTCCCTCCGGGCTGGGCTGGGCTGGGCTGGTTCGGATGTGGGGCCGTGCCTGGCCGGGGGAGCGGCTGCAGGAGGGGCCCGGCAGGAGCTGGAAGGTTGTGCTGCAGGCTGGGACAGCGGCAGGCCCCTTCCCCCTGCAGAAACAGAGCTAGAAGCAGCAGGATCCTAGCACAGCTCCATCATTTCTGGCGTTTGCTCCAGACCCTGATAGGGGCTATTCTTCAAATTCGTTGTGGTCCCATCGTGTTTAATTTTAGCCCTTTTGAATATACTCAGCAAGGCCCCATTTATCCCCTGGCTGAATGGAGAAGTCACATGAGTCCTGGGTTGTTTTAAAAAGCATCTCCACCACAGAGGTGAGGAGGGGATTGGGAAGGACAGGAGTGATGGAGGCTGTGCAGTGTGCTCTGCCTTGGAGCTACAGACAGCACTGCCCACACCTCGGTACCGGGATAGCTTCTCCAACAAACCCACCGGGGCTTTGTTGCTTGGCTTGAGCTCCCAGGGAGAGCACTGCCTGCCCGGCAGCCCTGGCCACCTCGCTGGGTATTGGGGGATGTGAGGATGTGACATGTTGCTGTCAGGATGTGTGCTGAGGGAGAGCACGGGCGTGGTTTGCTCGGCCTTGGGTGCTTTGATTTGTGACAGAGTCCCAAAGATTGGCCACTGCTCTCGGTGGCCTCTGCTGTGGTACATGGGGCACGTTTCCAGGCACAGGGGAGTGGGATGCCAGCAGGAACAAAGGCAGCTCCATGGAGCTGGCAGTGGGGAGAGGGGCTCCTTGTGCCAGAGTGCTGCTGGCTTGGCTGGCCGGGCCCTTTCCCGACAGCTGGAGCTGGAAGGGAAGCGCGGTGCCGTGACCAGCTGTCCTGGCTTCTGTCAGCGCGAGGGGAGCTGGCTTGGGAGGGTTGAGAGCACGCAGAGGGGGCAGTGATGCCTCCAGAACTCCCTCAGTCCAGGTCTCTCATCTGATTAATGGGTTTTAGCTTTTCACAACCCAGAAAGCCTCCTGCCTCCTTCAGTAGTCCTCCCAGGGCTCTACATTCTCTTCAGTGCTCTCCGTCCCATGCACAGTTGCACTGCATATACTGCCCTTGTTGGGTCTGACGGAGGTAGTGAGTGGTGTAGAGCTTTGAGCAAGGCACACCCTGGGCTCAGGAGGCTCCCTGGGCTCCTTAAGTGCTTTGTTGATGGTGGCACACTGGCAGAGACAGTGGCACATGCCAGAATACGGCTGGGATAGGAGCACACCTCGGGTACCTCAAAGCCCTGATGAGGAACCGTGGATCAAGGCTGGCCATGGTGCAGGGACCACACTGCTGTCCATGAGAGAGGGCTATTGTAAGAAGGGGATCCCTCCTCAAGTTCCCCCTGGATCTCTTGCCTTTGCCCTTGGCAGACACGCTGGCCATCAGCCCCAGCAGGGCTCTGCAGTGCACCCATGGCTGCTCAGAGGGAGACTTGGCTGAGGACAGGGCTTTTCCCCTTGCAGCTCTGGCTGCCTCCCACAGTGAGGGAAGCTCTTCTCTTGGTGTTGGGCTCAGCACTGACCTTCCTTTCTGTGAGGGGAATGACTGTGTGAGTCAAGGGCAAAGGGCAGTGTCCTCCACCAGCTGGGATTTGCTCATGTGGAATGTGGTGATTCCTCCGAGCTGTGGGGAGGCACCCAGAGGAATGGTAAATCCATGTTGTCTTGGTTGGGCTGAACAGAAATGAGAGATCAGGTTCAGCCAGTTACACCTGGCAGAAGTAAATGGAGTTGCCCCAGAGTCTCCATTGCCAGCCCTTAGTCATCCAGGTTAAAACCCAAAGAAAAGAGGAGAAACACACCCTGCACCTCGGCTCTGGTTTTATTAGCACAGGACTAGTACTATTTCATGTGTCAGGTCACTAGAGAGAGCAGGTGAGCATCGTCTTTCCAAAGTCTGGTAAAGGTCAGGGCAGGAGAAGCACAAAGGGAAGTATGTTGTATATCTGTGGTGCTTGCTGGGAAACACTGGACCTTTCAGTGTGAGGTGGGGGCTGTTCATGTCCCCTTTGGTCATGTTCATGGATGTGTTCACTGGGAAGCAAAGCAGCTGGGACACAGCCCTGGCACCAAGGGACACAGGCTGGAAGCAGCCTCTTCTTTCTTGTTTTTGGGACCTTGCCATTATCATGTTTCTCGCTCTGCTTTGTACACCTTGTGTTTGCCCTTTGCTGAGCCTTTTGGGTGGCAGTTCACAGTGTCCTCCAGGCAGGTGTTGCTTTGCTACCTGCAGCTCAGCACCCTCCTCACCCCGGGGTCTCACTGCTGCTCCCTGCACTGCTGCTTTGGGATGTCCCTGCCCTTCAGCTCAGCCATTCCAGCTGCCAGAGCACTTGGGGCATTCTGTAATTCTCCCCCATTCTCTCTAACTTCGTTTTCTCTGTCTCTTCTTGCCTTCTGCACTGTGTGCTGGTGAAACAGCATTGCTTCAGCTATGTCAGCAAGGGAGGGAGGGGAGGGAGACCAGAGCCCACAGTCACTGCTTGTCAGGGTAGAATGACCGAGTGTCAGACCCAAATCAAACCTGCTCAGGAGTGGCACTGTCCACTTGCAGTGTGGAAATAAAGGCAAGTCAGAACTGCCCCGAGCCCAGCACACTGGACTGTACTTTGTGGGTTTTTTCAGTGTGTGGCCCAGGAATAGAGATAGTTAAGCTTAGGAACAGAGGTCTTCCCTGCTGTGCTTGGAGGACAGGTGAGGACAGTCCCATTGGAGGCATCCGTGGCCGAGTGGGAGCTGGGGCTGGTTTGAGGAACTCCTGGCTCCGTGGAATTTTTTGTGGTGTGGATCCCAGGGGTATGATTATTTTCAGTAATGTTGAAAAGTCTGTCGTGTCTCTAGCATTTGTGAATGGCTTAGTGTGCTTGTACAGAGCATGTGCCAGGCTTGTGGGGTGGCTTTGGGTTTGTGCTGTGAGAGAGCGCTCAGTGACAGCGTCTGGGGGTGGTTGGGCAGTAGGTAACACTCCTATAGTACTAAATGGAATACCCTCACCAAAAGCATCTCAGCTGTGTTATCAATATTTCCGCATCTTCCCGCTTCCCATGCTCCTTGAACTTCAGTCTCTTCAGAAATAACACAAGAGATTATTCAGGATTTCCTCTTACTCAGCCAGGAGTGGCTGTGACACAGCAAGAAATAATCCCCTCTCAGGTCAAGCAGAAGCTGAGCCACTACACCCTCCTTTAGACACAGCTCAGAACAGCACAAGCCCCGGGGAGCTAATTACAGAGCTCTCCATCACGTACCTCATGTGCCTCTGGAGGGAAGGATGTAGAAAGGACCTGGGGAGAGGTGGCATTTGGTGACCCTGCTGTGAAGGGTGCCCTCGACTGCAGGAGAAGCAAGGAGAGGAAGGTTGTGTGTCAGCAGCAGCCCCAGATGTGCTCTCCCCTGGGAATGGTGGGATGTGCTTTTCCCTTGTGCTCTTTGTGTTGGGAAGCTGCCATGAGAGCAGCTGAGCAGGGCTGTGGCTGGGAGGGGTGTCCCCCTGTCCCCCCTGTGGGAAGGGCAGAGTCCCTGAGCCCAGAGGAGGTGTGTGCCCGCACTGCAGCCAGGGCAGGGACTGGCCTCTCCTCCAGCCCCTGGCTCTGCCCCAGTCCCCCTCCCCGTGGCTGTGTGAGGCTTGAGCAGAAGGGGTGGCACACCCTGACCTGCTGCCATGCCCTCTGCCCCGCAGGACCATGAGAAGCAGTACGTGGGCTTTGCCACTCTGCCCAACCAGGTCCACCGGAAATCCGTGAAGAAGGGTTTCGACTTCACCCTGATGGTTGCAGGTGAGGCTGCCCATGGGCAGAGGGGGCTGGGTACATGGAGGGAACCAGCTCTCCTCACTCCCCTTAGGTGCTCCCATAGTGCCTGAGTCCTCCCCTCACTCTGTTCTGGTCCTTGTCTCAGGCCTTGCTTTCCTCCCCAGGCTGTGGCAGCTCCCCCAGGAGGAACAGGCCCCTCCTGACCCCTCACAACCCAATCAAGCAAGCTTCTCTGCCAACAGGGACTGCTCTGGGTGGGGAAGGCAGGGCCAGACAGGGACCAAGGGAAAGGAAAGAGAGGGAGGGTGGGGGAGCTGGGAGATCACATTTGTACAAGGATTGAGACATCTTGCAGCAAAAGTCCTCCCACTGCTGGAAAAATGTAATGCCAATAAATAGCTCCTGACAGCTCGTCTCTCTCACTTCCTCTGGCTCGGGATTCAAAGCCTCATTCAGAGTTTCATTTGTAAGTCAATTAGAGGGTCATGTTGCTTGCTTTTTCCTCCTCCTCTTTGCGCTCTGTCAATTAGGAGAGTCGGGTCTGGGCAAATCCACGCTGGTGAATAGCCTGTTCCTGACAGACCTCTACAAAGACAGAAAGCTCCTCAATGCAGAGGGTAAGCTGGGGACAGAGAGGGGTGAGTGGGACTGTCTTAAGGACTAGTACTTTAGTTCCTTGCTTCAGAAGCAGCTACAGGCTCGTCTGGATCCCAGCCCTCTTGTTTGTGGCTCCGCTCTCCTTTGTGTCTGCAGAGCCACTGCTATTCCAGCAAAAAGGGTTTGGCTGTAGGCCTCTTCTATCCTGTGAAGGGAAGATGAGGCTGCAAAGCAGCACTAACCCTTTGGGTTGAGATGTTGAGATTTGTCTTTAGTTCTTGGGTGCTGGAGAGTGGTGGGGATTCCCCTTCCCCAGTGACTGGACCAGATGTTCAGAACAGCTGGGCTGCAGGCACTTAGAGGTCTGCCTGCCTGCTGCTGGCCTCCCACAGTACCACTCCCTTGAGGCTCCTTAGAGGATGATTGGGGTTTTTTGAAACCCATGTTAGTCCCTGTGCTCAGTGATAAGGAGGGAGTGGGCTTGTTCTGGGTGTGAGAGGGGATCCCCAGTGTTGCTGCCTGGCTTTAACTCACGTGTTCCTGTTCAAAGAGAGAATCAATCAAACAGTGGAAATCGTCAAGCACACGGTGGACATTGAGGAGAAGGGTGTAAAACTGAAGCTGACCATAGTGGACACACCAGGCTTTGGAGATGCTGTTAACAACACTGAGTGGTGAGCAGGGCACTGCTGCCTTCCTTCTAGTCCTTGGCTTCAGAGTCTCTAGGAGACACTGCTCTGTTGAACTCATGGTTTTGTTTGGATTGAATTGCCCTTCCCAGCTGGAAGCCCATCACTGACTACATTGACCAGCAGTTTGAGCAGTATTTCCGTGATGAGAGTGGCCTGAACCGGAAGAACATCCAGGACAACCGCGTGCACTGCTGCCTCTACTTCATCTCTCCCTTCGGGCACGGGTGAGAGCCCACACTCCAGGCCTGGAGGGTGACTCAGTCCAGAGGGAAGACCCCTGTGCCCCAGGATTGCCCTACAGTAGCTTGTCCACTGGCAGGGCTGTTGGCACAGGAGAAGAACTGTCTGGATGCTCTCCCTCGGCCGAGCATCACACCACTCCGCCTCGCTGGCATGACAGGCTGCCTGTGATCAGGCAGAGCAGATCTCCCTCAGGCCTTACAGCCTGTTCTGGAAATCAGAAGAAACAATGCCACACAGACCTGTGTGTTCCTATCTGGCTGAGCCTGAGTGATGCATAGGAAAGGGAGTTTTAAGCTGCCCTGGGTCCCTGCCCCGTGCTGGCTCACGTGTCAGCCTCACCCGCAGCAGCTGGAGGGGCCGTGCCGGCTGCCCGTGGCACAGGACAGCTGGAGTGAGACCCCAGGCTGTGGCCTGGGCAGTGTTTGGCCTTCAAGGGAGCCAATACCCAGCATGTGTCTCTGTGAGATGTTCAGCAGCTAAAACTGGAGACAGCTTTCCTGAAGGTACAGCCCTGGCTGAGGCTGTCCCAGTGCTGCTGCAGCCCTTGTGTCACTGCTGTCCTTTGTGCTGGGGGGTGAGAGGGGCTGCAGGGGGAGCTGCCCAGTGTGTCCTTCCTAACTGTGTCTCTCCTCATCCCTGCTGCAGGCTGAGGCCTGTGGATGTTGAGTTCATGAAGGCTCTGCACGAGAAGGTCAACATTGTGCCCCTGATTGCCAAAGCCGACTGCCTGATCCCTTCCGAGATCCGGAAGCTAAAGGAGAGGGTGAGATGCTCTTTCTCTACAGGGTGCATCCAATGGGCTGAGGAGGGAGGGGAGATAGATATCTATGTATAGCTTGTTTGTGTGTATAGGTACATATATACACAGACAGTACCTGCACATGTAGCTGCAGCAGTGCTGTGCTGTGAGAAGGGAGGTGGTGTCAGCAGAGAGGCCAACTCGAGAAGAAACATCAAATCCTTTTGCCATCCATAGGCTATAGCAAACCCATGGTAGCACAAACAGAATAAACCCAGTATTTCTGTATTGTTCACTTCTAAATCCTTTTGTTTTTGTCTTGCCTGGACACAGATCCGGGAGGAGATTGACAAATTTGGCATTAAAGTGTACCAGTTTCCTGAGTGTGACTCCGATGAAGATGAAGAGTTCAAGCAGCAAGACAGAGAGCTGAAGGTAAGGAACCTGCTCAGCAGAGGACTGGGAAGTCAGGCTCCATGGATATGTGGGTTGCTCCAGAAGGAGCCAGAGCTGCCCTGTGTGTGCCAAAGGCCAGTGCTACGGATACCCAGGGAACAGCCTTGGCTCATGTGGGGGGTGGCCTGGAGAAGGTGCTGATGTCCTTGCTGGTGCCATGAAGTCCAGTGTGGCATGAAGACATGGCACTTCTGCTGTCCCTCCAGGCAGTGTCAGTCAGCCTTTCCTCCATCTACCCCAGCCTGTATATTTAAGATAAAGGCTGGGTTGTGCAGCATTTCTAAGCACCTGTTTCTAAGCACCTATGAGTGATGCCATCAGCGAGGAGGGGTTTGCTAGTGAACAGACACCACTGTGACACATAAGTTGCATGGGGGAACACATGATCCTACAGGCATGTCTGGAGGCCCCAGCAGCCCAGTCCTGACCCCCTCCCAGGCCGAGCCAGCCCTGTGAGTGCAGGGAGTATGGCCTTGTTTCTCCTGTCAGAGGGCGGCAATGGGCTCTGACTCCCTTCTGAGCAGAGAGGAGCACAGCCTGTACCTTCCTGCCTGGACAAGCTCTTGTCCCACATTGTCCCTCTTGCTCGGAGTCCCAGCCTCTTTGCTCTGGCTTCCTTGTAGAGCTTCCCTTAGAGAAGGGATGGAGGCACCTGCAGAGACACAGCTTCCCCCAGGAGAGCTGAGTCCAGCTGGGAGTCAGGCTGCCTGTAGATCCCAGTGCCTTGGGATTTTCTCTGCCAGCTGAGTGGTGGTGTCCTGCTCAGTGGCACGTGTGGGTGTCCTTTCCTACTAGCACCTTCCTCCTCCTGCTCCGCGGTGCCTGGGCCTGCCCCTGGAGGAGGGTCCGTGGGCAGCCGGGGGAGGGCTCAGCGGTGCCTCTGTTCCAGGAGAGCGCTCCCTTCGCCGTCATCGGCAGCAACACCGTGGTGGAGGCCAAGGGCCAGCGAGTCCGGGGACGGCTCTACCCCTGGGGCATTGTGGAAGGTGAGCCTGCAGCCTGGGGGCTGGCACTGTGAGGAGGGGGGCACTTACAACAGGGATGGCAAGGGAGAGCTGCACTGTCTGTGCCACCTTTGGCACGGGGCAGGGGACATGAGGCAGAGGCACCGGGACTGGCTCAGGAGGTCTGTTACTGGGAGTGAAGTAATAACCCTACCACGACAGACTGAAGAAGAGAGGCTCCAGTGTGAATGGAAGAATGCCTGGGCTTTATTATGCACTAGGATTTGGCTTCTTATTAAGGGGGGAGGTATTGCCCATTTAGTTTCCAGGGAGAAGCTGTTGCCTTCAGCCAAACAATGCTAAACCCTCCTGCACTCCTTCCTCTGCTGCCTCTCCTGTAAGGACTGGAGTTGCTGGGCTGGAGACAACTCCCTTTCTTCTGTTCTAAAGGGAGAAATTTCAAAAAGTCCTGGAATGGCTTTTGCTGCTGTTGCTGACTCCTCCATGCTGGTTTGTTGCTTTTAGGCCTTGCAGCTTTAGATCCCAAAAGCTTGTGTGTGCACTCTTGGCTGGTGGTGCTGGCTGCCCAGCTGCTGGCTCTGGTCCCTTGCTGGCTCCAGAGGGCACAGGGCCTGTTGGGATGCTGGCATTTGACAGTAGGATCAGCTCTGTGACTGCCCGTGCCTGGCACAGCTGGCTTCCCCCAGCCCTGCAGAGAGGTGGAGATCACATGGCAGCACAGTGCTGTCTGGAGCCAGGCTCCCCACGGCAGCAGCAGCTCTTTCAGCTCTCCATCCTGCTCTTGGCTTTGCCCCTCAGGGGCTGATTTTGTCTACAGGGGCCTTTTGATAAGTCCTGAATTCTGATGAGACAAGCAATTGCCTCCAGCACCAGCTGCGCTCACTCTGGTCATAACAGCGACATCGCATGTACCTGGGATCCTCTCTCATGCTTAATTAATCCTGTTACCCAGAAAAAGTCCTGGGAGCACAGTGTCTTCAGCAGCCTGGCCTCAGCATTGGGAACTGCAGAGCATCACGGAGGCTGTGCTGGGCAGTGGAGGGGGAGGGAGGATGAGGAAGGAGCCCTGGGGTGGGGATTTAGTCCAGCCTGGGTGCCAGGGCTTCCTGGAATAAGCTGGTGAGGTGTGAAACACTCTCCCCTGGTTGGTTGTGCAGTGGAGAACCAGGCTCACTGCGACTTCGTGAAGCTGCGGAACATGCTGATCCGGACACACATGCACGACCTGAAGGACGTCACCTGCGACGTCCACTACGAGAACTATCGAGCTCAGTGCATCCAGCAGATGACCAGGTGGGTCCCCCCTGCGCTGGGAGGGATGTCTCACAACAGCTTATTGCTGTGGGTCTGCTGGGGACACGCTGGGCTGCAGCCTGGGCACTGGCACTGGGAACTAAAGTAGCAAATCCGAGCGTGTTTCCCACAGCCTTGAACCTGTGGTGGGAATGCTGCTGAGAACCCATTTTACTGTCTGAGGATTCCCCATGCAGATATTGGGAAACAGGCCTAAAGATTATTTTGGAGACCTGTTTCTGGCAGTGGGTGAAATACATCCAGCCTGATAAAATGGGATAAACCGTGTCTGGTGACTGATAGTTGTGTGCGTTGCTGAAGAGGAAGGTGTTCTGCCGTCTGCAGTTCTGTCCAGATGACAGCATGACCCTTGGGATGCTGCTGTTTCTCAGACAACAAAGCTCAGGCAATTAGTAAGACAACACGTCTCCAAAGATTTCTCTGCATTGTCTTCCCATTGCATTTGATTCTCCATGGTTTTAATGACAATGATCAGAAAACAGAAGGGAGAACACAAATGGGTTTCTCATTTGAGACCTCTGTTTTTCCTTCTCCCTTCTATGACTGATATACTAGTGACAGAGCTGAGATTCAAGCAGGTCTTGGCTCCTCTGTTGAGGCCCAGCCCTGGCTGGGTGTCTGTGCTGCCCCGTGTCAGGGCAGCAGTGGCTGTGCCCCAGCAGGGAGCAGTCTGGGCTGTGCCGACGTGCAGGTTGGCACATCCTCTGGACACGCAGCGTATCCCAGTCCTTTTGCATAGCAGACAGGCCTGTTTGTTTCAGCAGTGAGTGCATGGAGTCCCAAAATAACTGTGTTAAATGCTAGAGCTGCGTGAGCAGTGTCACAGCTGCTGTTTAGGTGGGCTGCGTGTCTATTAAAAGAAGAGCATGATGCAGAAGCAATTGCTAAGCTCAGGAGGAGCTTCAGTTTGGTACCATTTCTCACGCCATGGTTAGTTCCATGCCAGTGAACAAGTCTCATAAAACCAGAGCAGGGCCCTTTCTAGAGAGTCCTTTTGGGAGCAGACCCCAAGCTCCAGGGCTGGAATTGTCTCAGTAGTGAGGCAGCGGTGACTCCAAGTGGTGAACGCCTGCAAGTGACATCTCGAAGTTCCAGTTTCAGCCCAGATGTCAGTGGCTGCTGTCATCCCCTCCTCACCTACTGAGAGCTCCTCTGACTTCTGGAAGAAAGTCACCTGCTTTCTCTGTCCCCTGCCTGCACTTGTGTGCACCCCCAGCCCTCACAGCAACGCTGCTGTTTCTTGCCTCCCACCTCCTGAATAGGAGGGCAGGCTTTGTTACTAGACCTGCAGCAATCAAACTGTTCCTCTGGTTTTATCTTCCTGGAAAAAAAAGGCTCACGGTGAGCACGTGGTGCAGGAGGGATGCTGATGGTTTGTGTTGATGCTGCATGTATGTGTAGGCACACGGACAGAAGAGCCAAAAGAGGCTGGATAAATTGTCTCCTAATATCTCTGCTCAGCTTGCCAATGCAATTACAAAAGGTGGTTGGAAATATCAGCCTCTTCTGTGTTTGCTTTCAGTGTAAGCCTGGTTTGGATTTTCTGTTAGCTACCCACACACTTGTATTTTGAAAACTGTCATTGACTTTGGTCACATTTTGTATCCAAGTGCATCCCACAGCTTTGGGCTGGATTGCCCCCAACCCTTCCACCTGGCTGGGTGAATGCTGGTGCATTGCTGGCTGGTCTGCCACGGGCAGTGACAGTCCCCGTGTGGTGACACCAAAGCCAGCCAGCCTGAACCACGACTGACTCTGCCTCTCTCCGTCTCTCCAGCAAGCTGACCCAGGACAACAGGATAGAGAGCCCCATTCCTATCCTGCCTCTGCCAACACCAGACACTGAGACAGAGAAGCTGATCAAGATGAAGGATGAGGAGGTGAGACCCGTTTCTGCCTGTACCTCCTTGGTGCTGGAGCTGGAGTCTCAGGTGTTCCTCCAGGGCTGCCCCATAGAGGCTGTCCTGAGCCTTCCCCCTCCTGCCTCCCCCTGTCCTGGGCTCCTGGGGGCAGGGTGGGAAAGCTGCAGCTTCCTGTCAGGGAGATGTGGCCACATTCCACCCCAGGTACAGGTGCCTCTGTGCTCAAGCAGGAGTTCATGCTCCCTGAGGGATCCCTTGCCAGCTCCAAGGGCTGCCCCAGCGAGGATCAGCAGGTCCCTTTCTGACTCTCTCCTCTGTCTCGTGCAGTTACGGCGGATGCAAGAGATGCTGCAGAAGATGCAGCAGCAGATGCAGGATCAGTGAGAGGCAGGTACCCGGAGGGCAGAGGGAATCCCCCAGTGACCACAAGACCTGGCAAGAGCTGTGAACGTTTAGAAAAGGTTTCCTGTTGTATAGAGACTCGTGGGCAAGAGCTGCACCCGCACCCTCTAATTTATTAGCAGCAATGTTGGCTTTTCGGCCAGCTGGATTGTGGAGGAGGCTGTTCACTTAACAGTTTACTGAAGTGTATTTCTTTCTTTCTTAATATTCTTTTGTTTCTTTTTTTTCTTTCTTTTTTTTTTTTTTAAAGAAACTAGCCTGGTAAGTCTCTAAGGCATCCTAAAAAAAAGAAAAGAAAAAGATCCTCCTTTCCCATGTACTAATCTCTTGTTTAGGAATGCTTTGGTATTTAAAGTCCTGGTTTCTCTGGTGTACAAACTTAAAGACTCTCTGTGTCAATGCACGTAAATGTTTACTCCCAAGTGAGGTGCTGTGCCCCTGTCCCTGTTGCCCTTGTCTGGGGCCAGCACTGTAAAGGCAGCTGGACCCTCCTGTGAGTGTGACCTGCTCAGGTGTCTCAGGCTGGGGGCAGCTCTGGCCCAGAGAGCTGGGCTGGGGGTTCCTCTGTGCACTGACCTGCTCGGGAGTACTGATGGTTGCCTGGTTTCCTGTCTAGGTTTTTATGGTTTTTTTGTTTAGTTGGTTGGTTTTGTTCTTCCTATCAAGAAGCTCCAGGATATTTGCACTGAGCAGCAAGGGACTGAGTCTCTCAAGGCTGGTTAGAAGAAAATGCTTCTCTGACTCTCAGTTATATCTTTCTGGCAGAGAGGATAAGTTGTTTATTCCCTGCAAGGACTTGATGGGAGTGAGCACCTTCACTGCCATGGTTTCCTTCCTTGGCAGGCTGGAGGTGTTGGTAGATGAACCCCAGGGCCCTGCAGTAGCTGGGTGAGGTATCTCTTGGTTTAGCTCTGGTCATCCAGCTGCAGTGTGTCTTCAGTGTCTGCTCTGAAAAGCACCGTGGCAGCCAGAGTGCTTGGCCAGGACTGCTTTGGAGTAGAAACTCTAGGGCTGAAACCCAACCCCAAATGCAGACCTGTGTCCTGTCCCCAGGCTTTGCAGAGCACACTGCTGGCTCTGAGCTTCTCCTGGGGGAAGGGGCAGTTTTTGTAGGCTTGTACTTGAGATCTGCAGGCTGCCTGTCCAGGCAGGTGTTCCATCAGTGTGGCAAGAGTAGGATTGTCACTGCCTGGAGCTCAGCACAGCCCACCAGACTTGGCACTTGCTCCCCTGCCCTTCCCCTGGGACTCAGCCCTTCTCCCCCTCCCTAGTCCAAGGCTCTTCCTGTCTTAATGCTGGGAAGGCTGGTGGATCTGCTGGGCAGAGATAAGAGCACTCTTTGAGCAGCAGCTCCTGTCTTGTTCTTGCTTCCTGCAGTATTTTTAACTCTAGTCCAGCCAGAGCAGAGCCCTGGAGTGTGATGTGCCTGACAGGGCAGGGCTCAGCAGCAACACTGCCACGCTCAAAGGAATCAGGGCTGCTGAGGAGAGACACTTGGCTCTTCTCTCTGACTCCAGGGAGTGCTCCCATGGGCTGGACCCTTCTGCTCCTTGGCTGATTCCTCTCTCCCCTTTCCTCTTTTGTATCTGCTCCTCCATCTCTGGATCTCCCCAGTAGATCTCCCTGGGTAGGAAGCGCAGTGTTGGCCAGGAATAGCCAGGCCCTAAATTCTGTTCTTAGGCACTGCATTTGTCTGATTCCTCCATGGGGCTTTAGAGTCCTGGTCAGGGCTTGTCGAGGTGGTGAGTAGGTTGGCTGGTTCCAGTTATTCACTGTACAGAGCCTCTGCTTAGCCATGGGCTGTAGGGGCAGGGGACAGACCCTGGCACCCTGTGGAAGGACAGAGTGAGGGTGGAAGCCCTTTGGCAGAACTGTGCAACCTGGGCAAGAGCAGTGTCTAACAATGTTGGTTTTTTTCATTCTCCCCTATTTTGGGCTCAAAAGTAGCAGTGCCAGCCTAGGAGAGCAGAAGGATTCAGCTTGGCTTCAATAACATGCAGGACCAAGGTGCCTAAGGAGGAAACAAACTGTTCTTTGTGCAGTGTGCTTACTTGAGCAGTGGAGTGGCTGGAAACCTTCCTTCCAGCTTTTCTGGAGCTGGTTTGCTTCTAGCCAAAGCTGCAAGTCTGCTCAGTTCTCAGCTTTCTGTGCTAGTGTAACAGGGAACACCTTCAAGTACCTGTCCCCTCTTTTCTTGCACTAGTCTTGTTAGTGAGGAGGATGTTCTGTTGCAAATGAGCCCTGTCCAGCTGGAGATGTTCCTCCTTCAAACAGATTTATTCCTAGAAGATAAAGGAGACTTTTTCCCTTTAGCAAGGACATAGAGCAGCTGCCAGCTCTTATGCTGGGCTATGCACAGAGGTGCTGTGTGCTGGTGAGAGCACAGGTACACAGGTCACAGGCAGGCAGGGTTGCTGAGGGTGGATCTGCCCCTGTCCCTCTGGGTGAGGAAGTCTCCATCAGCTCAGTGCATGTGGCTCCTACATCAAGTTGATAGTCACAAGTCTGTCCTCTACAGAGAGCTGAAGTCTTTGGCTACCAGCTGGCAAAGATGGTTCAAGTTGCATTTAGGAAAAAGCACACAGGAGTGAGGCACCAGAGATGGCTTCTGCAGAGGGGCAGCGGTACCACTGACATCACATCTCCGTGTAGGAGGCTCCCTACAGAGGGCCAGAGTTTGAGGGCTGCTTGGAAAGGGATTACAGACTGATTTTGGGGGACACCAGGGAGGTGCCTGGAAGGTGGCATCTGTTTAGGAAAGGGGTACTGTGGCATCAAGTCACCCAGTAAGCAGAGAAGAGACTCCTGAACACGTGTGGCTTGGCTGTTTGGCTCTGGCAGCGAGAAGTGTGGATAGGAAAGTAATTTAACACCTCCCCTCACGCAACCCTCCCCAGCCTCAATGCGATCCCTGCTCCCCAGGCACACTCCCGTGCCTCTGCCCAGCTCTGTCCTGCTGTGTGGGGGCTGCAGGGGTGGTGTCCCACTCTCAGGGTGCCCCAGGCTGCAGTGGGCTCTGGGTCCCCCTCAGCCCTGTGCCTGCCTGGGATGGAGCCAGGGCGTGATGTCCTCGTGTGCCGCTGCTGTGCTGGTCCTGTGCAGTCCCTGCAGCCTCCTGCATGCTCCTCTCCAGGGAGGGATCCCCCTCCTCGTGCTCTGCTATGGCATTCCCTGCTCCTCCTCACAGACTCCGCTGTGCTGTAACGCTGGCTTGCTCCTGCCACACACCTTCCTCACCCCCTGCTCCATTCCTAGGCTCTTTGTTTCCTGTCCATCTCTTGGGTTATTATAATTATATTTTTTTGTAAATTTCTGTTTGAACATTTTGTCATTGTGAACAAAGAAAAATGAAACCTTTTAAAACGTATCCATTTTATTAAATGATTATTGTTATTATTATTAATGTTTACTACCTGAATTGATCAGTGAAATAAATACATTCAAAAAACCAACCTCTTTCTGTTTGATTTTCAGCCCTCTTCAGCAGCACTGGTGATGCATTGTTGGCAGGAGAGAGCAAAATTCACCCCGTTTCTCCTTTTATCTAATTCTGTCAGAACAGGCTCCAGGCAGGACTTCCTGCATGGGATTTCTGGCCTGGCTGTGCCAGAAGCTAGCAAGCTGATCTTGAAGTTCTTCTGTCTTCAGGCTTCCCTTAGGAGTGGTGTCTAACTCAGCACTGGGCAGCTGGGCAGGATCCAGTCCAGGCACTGCAGTTTGTAAGTAGCCAGAGGAGCGTTGCCAGGTCTGTGCTGCCTGCAGAGCACAGCGGGCCTGGCTCTGGGTCAGCTCTGAACGCCTGCCTGGGAATAAACGGAGCACCCAAAGGCATGAGACGAGGTAGGTCTGCTGAGCAAACCCAACCTGCAGTAGTCGAGCTGCTCCCGAGTGGAAAGAGTGCCCTGCAGGAAAAACTGGGTTGGTTTGTTAGCCTAAGATCTCTTTCCCACTCTGCCTGCCCACCATAGTGGAATGATCTGCCCCAACTTTATAGAAATTTAAAGCTTAATTGTTTTCTTTAGAGCATCAAAAATTTTCCCTAGGGCCAAATCCTGCCATTGTTTTCACCCTCAGTTCTCCTCAACATGACCACATTCAGGGCATTCATCATTTCTGCTCTGTGTGATGTGCACAGGACAAGGTAACAGAGTTGTGCTCGGTGGGGCAACAGTTTCACAACATAATTCTGGTGGCTTTAGCCTGAGGAGCACAGTGAATGCCTGGTCAGGCTGGTGGCACAAAATTGTCTGTGAAGGTGTGATGGCCATGAGAACGCAAGATTCTACCTAAATGTATTTTGACCCTTGGACTTACCTGTTCAAATATTTGTGTAATGCAGCTTCTGAATAAAGCACATGGTCAGTCTTTCTCATTTCTATCAGCAGATCTTTCACTACTAAGTAGGAATAGATTTGTGTCCCTGTTTAAGGGAAACTCAAGGGTCAGCACCTGAAAAAGTGCTAGTTCTCACCCCTCTGCCAAGTGCAGCTTTCCTGATGAGATGGGAAACCAAAGGCCACAGTGCTCAGGGAGTGTGGTACAAACCAGTAATGCCACCTTGCAGGTTGAGGTGCATTTTGAGTTGCTGTGCCATGAGACTGTGCAGTGTCTGTGCCAGGCCCAGAATCACAGTTATCAGTACCATCAGCATCCCAGCAAACGTGTTCTCGTGGGCAGTGCCAGCTCCTGTGCTGTGGAAGACTTGCTCAGAGGAGCATCAGCTTCCCTGACACGCAGCAGACGTGGGGGAGGCCTCGTGTGGGAGGTCCCAGGGATGAGCAGGACCCTTATCTTGCCAGCCAGCTGGGAGGGCATTATCCGGGAGCTCGGCTCTGCAGGGCACACTCTGCACTGGCTGGGCTGCCTGAAGACCTTCCTCTTGTCCTGTAAAGCCAGCGAGAAAGCAAGGATTGTACTACTCTGGTAAGTCAACAGTTACCTTCTGTTCTTTTTTTTGTCTTTGCCTGACAGCACAGGGAAGCACTGCCTTGTTGCAGGTCTGTGTAGTTGTTCTCCTGAAGAATTATAGCAGCTCATGTGCTCAGCAGTGGCACGAGGCTGTAATGTAAAGACAGCTCATTGACTCATGTCTTGCAGCACAGTCACAGCTCCAGAAGGAGATTATTCACCTGCTGGAGCAAAACTACCATGGAAAACTCCACTGACCTCCACCCTCAGTGATCAGTACCCTTTCTGTGGCCAAGGGCTGTTTATCACTTCTTTCCAAAGCTGGAAAGGCTATTTTTCACTTGTGGTAACAGTAAATTTATTTCTGAATCTCCTCTTACAGTTTGCATGAACAAAGCTTTGCTTACAGGTGTAATTCAGAGCTATGATAAGGCAGGAGCTGTTTCATATTTTAGTTTTTGATTCCTTGACGGAAATTTTATTGGCTACTCTAGTAATTCACCTCCACTAATGCTGAAAATAGAAGCAGCTCTTGTACACTTTGGAGGACTAGTGAAAATGTATTTGATGGCTGCAGCTAAGCCTCCCAGTAGCTATGTGTTCATATCCCTCCTCAAATACAGGGTTGGAAGACCAGGAACATTCTCTCTCCTGTAAAGAGAGACCAAGATTTTGCACATCTCTTTTAACTTTGTTCTTTTCAGAGCTCTCGCACCTCCTGTGAAGGACACCAAATTCACCCAACTTTAGGAACTCATCCTCAGAACAAACCAACAAAAGACCTGGGGCTGTGGTGTCAGTCCTAGAGTGTGTGGTGTCTACTTGCCTGGTCTTCACCTCATTCAGTCTCACCAGGAAAGTGTTTGCAGGTGAAGATGAACAGGGGAATTCTCTTCTTGTCCCTGCTTGGCTTCCTCCCGCTCGTGATACCCACCTGCCCTGTGCCATGCAAGTGTACCACCACCATTATTGACTGCACCTCAAAAGACCTCACTGTAGCAAACCTGCCCGTTGCCTTCCGTCCTTCAGCTGAAATTATCCACCTTGGTTACAACAGGCTCACCTCTATTCCCAATGGGCTCTTTGACAACCTGAAGAGCCTGCAGGTAGTGTACCTGCAGGGCAACCCTTGGGAATGCACCTGTGACATCCTGTACCTGCGCTCCTGGCTGCAGTGGCAGCAGAACCGCACCCTGTACCGGGATGTGAGGTGCAGCTCCCCGAGGCACCTGCAGCACCGGGTCATTGCCTACCTGACAGAGGACGAGGTCAACTCCACGTGCCAGTACTGGTACTGCAGCCTGGCTCTCCTCTCTCAGCTCTGTCTCTTCATCCTCCTTTTCCTCCAGGGTATCTTGGTTATCTTCATCATTGTTTACCTGCAGAAATTTCGGAGGATGACCGCTGAAGCCCGGAGCACCACCCGAGAACTGCACCAGCAGGTTGACCCTTGGGTATCTTCTTCAAGAAACCCCTACAACAATGATTAACATCCCAAGACTGAAGACCCTCCTCCTCTGGGGGGATGATGTGCCAAGCTCCTGTGGTTTGTGATACCCAGAGCAGACATCTGATCCTGACTGCAGTCCAAAGCAGGACTTGAACTATCAGACACTTGCCTGTGTTCCTAAAGAACCAATCTTGTGGGTTTTTTAATGCTTTGAACTCTTTAGCATGATGTTGATTGCTTTGCTGAGCTGGACGTGGCTCTGGTTTGGTAGATTAAAGAAATCATAAACTACAGTGACCAGAACTGACTCAAATGGCTCACAAGGTCCTAAAGGCTACAGAGCTTGATCCCTCCTATGCTACAGTATTTCAGCCACACTTCCCACGATGCTTCTGGTTGTGTTGGGTCAGGTGAGGACAGAGGTGGGCAGTGAACAGTTAAGGTACTGGACTAAGACAATGCAGAAATACAGTTTTCTCGTGTTACCACAGACTGCCTTAGAATCTTTGGCCAAGTGACTTAGTCTTCTCCTGCCTTGGTTTCCCCATCAGTAAAAGAAAAAGAAAATTTCTTCTTGCTTGATACATCTTTTCCAATGTTCTTCTTCTGAGGGAGGGAGGGAATGTTTAGAAGCCCACCTATTTTATCCTGTTTGCATTCCTTTTAATCTTTTTACAGTTTTAATACTGACTTCAGCTAAGTGAGACTGGGGCCCTGAATGCTTTTGAGATATTCATCCTGAAGCCAAGAGTTGTTGAGACCAGTGGCTCGCTCTGGCTGTGCCTGTAACAGCACTTGGCATGAGAGATCTGGTCTTTAGAGACTCAAACTGCAAACCCCACTGATGTGCCTACTGCTGGTTATAGTGTCCCTTAATTATTTTTGAAATGAAGCAAAAATGAAATAAAATAATGACGCCTGTTGGTGTAAATAGCTTATTTCTCTATTCTACACTGGGTATCTTGCATGCTGTTGTGCCTCCAGAGTTCCTCACGCTCAGACCGTGCCAGGCAAAGCAAACCCCGGGGCACGTGGAGCTGTTGCCGAGTGCTCTGTCGGGTTAAGCTTTGGCAGCTGCTGTTCCACCACGGCCCAGGGAAATGGGGAGTTTTTTCAAGGGCTTCCGAGTGGCTGCTTATGGTTTAATGATTCGGCTGGAAAGGAGAAGGCATTTGGTGGGGCCAGCGCGGCTGTGGAGTGACCAGCAGGTGAATGCCCCATTCCCTCGGTCTTCAGCCCCAGTCGCGGGGGTTCTTGTCCCTTCCAGGAGCCTCAGGTCACAAACAAAGAGCTCCTTGGCCGGGGACAGTGACTGGACACGGGACAGTGACTGGACACGGGGGCAGTGACTGGACACGGGGCAGCGCCGGAGCAGCCGCGGCCGCCTCGCGCTCCGGAAGGGCCCGCGCGGCCCTGCCCGGCCGCGCCTGCGGCACGAGGGCGTGAGGGGCGTGAGAGCCGTGAGGGGCCGTGAGGGCCCGTGAGGGCTGTGACGGGCCGTGAGGGGCCATGAGGGCCCGTGAGGGCTGTGACGGGCCGTGAGGGCCCGTGAGGGGCGAAGGAGCCGCTCCGGGGCCCTCTGAGGTCAAAGGGAGCCCTGTGGTGTCTGTGCCTCAGGCTCCAGCTGGGCTCGGGGGCCGCGCGAGCCCGCCCGCCCCAGGTGCTGCAGCGAAAGGCCGCAGGGCTCGGGCGGGCGGAGCCCCTGTGAGGGTGCGGCCCCTCACGGACGGACGGACGGACGGACGGACGGACGGACGGACGGACCGATGGAGCCCTCGTGCGGGTGCGGCCCCTCCCCGGCGGCGGTGTCGGGGGCTGAGGGGACCTTCCCCACGCTGTGAGCGCCGGGCCAGCCTGGCTGAGGTGAGTGACACGGGGCTCCGCCCCGGGGGTCTCTTTCTGCCGTTTCCTTGCTCTGCCCGTGTCCCTCCAGCACTGACCCCTGCGGTGTTGGCCTGAGTGTAGCACTGGCACTCAAGAAAATGGGGTCCAGCTCAGATTTGTGTTTTCTTCGGAGGTTTGCACCTTGCTGGACCTTAGACAATGTATCCGTATCCCCCACGGTGTCCCCAGGACCATGATCTCTGAGGGGGGACACGGCTCCACCAAGAGCCTGCTCTGTGGAGAGGTCCACACTGCTGCTCCATGAGGCCCCCAGCACTCTCAAATCCCTGATTTTTAAGTACTGTTGATTTTTTTTTAAAATTATTTTTCCCCTACCCGAGGAACAACCTTTTCATAGGAATGGAAAGCCAGTTTTCTTGCTTGTTCCTCCCCCGTTGTCTTTTTCCCAGAATCAAAATGCAGCAGTGTAAGGAAGTAGCAAAAACCCTGTCTTCCTTTCACCCCTTCCTCCTTATTCCTTTAGGTCAATTATACTGTTATTTTAGTGGTTTATGCCTGTTGTTGAAGTTCTTTACATGGAAGGCAGGTAACAGGCCTTTTCTTTCCCAGTGCTTTGCTGGTGTGGCAGAATGATTCCCTGGGCTTGCCTGCGGATTTTCAGCTGAATGTCCCCGGGTTGGAGGGTGTTGTTGGTGGCCATGGGCAGTATTGACAGTGCCAGGACAGGCTGGACTGGGAGCAGGCACAATCCCAGCCCTGTGGCTGCTCAGCCTGTCAGCACTGCTGTGGGGTGCTGGAAAACCCTCAGGGCTCAGTTTGCCCACAGACAGAACAACTGCTGACTTTGGTTTCACTTCCCCGGGGAGGAGGCAGGAAGGGGTCCTGACTCTGCGTTGTTCAGTCTTGGCACGTGAAAGGTAAAAAGCCTTTTTGGCATCGTTTGCCAAAATGTGGGGAATGCGACCAGCCATAGCAACGTGCTAATGAATTGCACTGAGCACAGAGTGATTTGTGTGCCATGGCAGCATGTCTAATCCATAAATCTAGAGCCTGCATGGCTTGGCTTCTCCTGGCTCAGGAAGCTGCATGTCACAGATGCTTTCCTGCTCTGCTGGCCAGTGGAGGATCTGCTGGGATGCCTCTAAAGGGAGAACCGGTTTTCTTTCTGAAGGGAGGGACTGTCCAAGGCTGCACAGAGGCTTCAAAGGGGAAGTAGAAGTGAAATATGACAAAGATAAATGCAAGCTATTAAGCAGGCTTTGGAAATAACTTTCCAGTATCAACGCCAATCCAACCCCTGGGTGTGCAGGATTGGGCTGCCATGCCTGCTGGACAGGCTGCTGCATTGCCAAGGGTTCAGATGCTTCCAAACAGCTCCTTTCTCTCAGAGTTACCAGGTTAAAAAACCCTGAGAGACCAGACCAAAGTGTTTGCAGCCTTCATGATGCAGAGCTCCAAACGTGAGGTGTCTAAAAAGCAGGTCAGCACTTCCTAAGTGAAGGACCAAATGGTTGGTAGATGACATTGGGAAAGGCACACTGATTCTTTCTTCTCTCAAATGCCTTGTTTCTCAGTTATCTTCATGGTGACTTCTGTATGTTTTGCAGAGTAAAAGAAGGCTTGAAAGCAGAGCAAGCTGATATTGGAGCTTAGAGAATTTTAGCCCATAATCCAACTGAGAACCTGTTTGTGAGTCCCTGTACTGTGTGGTGACAGTGGTTCTGTTTTGCTTCAAGATTGCTGCAGGTGCTTGCTTACAGATTGCCTGGGTCCCACCCTGGGAACCCACCCCTGTTGTTTTATATACACTTTCACAGGTTCTGCACCCTTGTGAGTGTGGTGAAAATAATCACATTTGTACATGTAGAGAACAACTTCTTATCATCCATTGCAGAGCATCCCAGAGAGAGTGCCAAGAAAAGCAGTGTTGATTCCACAGCATGGGACATCTTGTCTGTCCTGGGGTACATGAGAGAACTATTTTAGGAATTTTTAGAAGTGACTTTTACATTGTTTTTTGTATGTTTCCATATAAAAACAGAGGCCCAGACTCATAGGCCTGGTTTTGGAGGGCTTTAACAGAGACCACAGTCTAATTTAACAGATTTCTGCAAATGATTAGTTGTCTTGGAGAAGTGCCTCGAAAGCAGCAGGTTGCAGCGTTAAGGTTTGTTCTGAAGATGGTATGTGTGTACATACTGAATGTCTAGATAAAGCTCTGTACTCCCTGGGAGGACAGGATAGAGCACTGCTGGTGGACATAAAAGATTTAAGTGGGTTTAGTCCAAAAAACCCACCTTAAATCACTCTCTTAAATCTACAAGTAATGTTTTTTTTCTGTTTCTTTATATGTCTCATGGTCTGCTTCTGCTCTGAAATGTTTGTGACTATGGAGGACAGAATATGCTGGGAGGTATTTCTTTGTATTTCCACAGAGGAGGATTAACCTGAGTTATGAAACCAAAATGCCAGGAATGCTCTCTGTGGATACCTGATGGTTCAGGCTGTGTAGCTGATCTCCTTTCCTGTCTGTAACAGCTGATGATCATTTCTAATCTGCCCTGGCACAGCTGTGTGGTGCCCCATCAATGCCATTCCTTTTGCAGGGGAACAGCTGTGCTCACCAGAGGACAGTCTGTCTGCAGAGCCTCTGCCGCGCTGTCACCGGGGCGTGCTCGGGAGAGGGCAGCAAATCGCTTTGAATCTCCTGCTTGTACTTGTAAAATCAAAGTGAGATGTGGGCTTGGGACAAGATGAAGGCAAGTGTGATGTGTGTCTGCCCAGAGGCTGACAGGGATGCTCCAGACTTAGCTGCCCAAACAGCAGACATTGCAACATTGCTTTTTGAACCTGTAACTACTAGTTTAAACAGTTCTTTCTTCTTGTTCCAAAGCATCAGACTAAAACAGAGAGGAAGAGGAAGGTGGCCATTATGGTGCTATGGCTGTGATGGAAATAGTGTTGGTTCTCTGTCTGATGATCTTTGGAGGGTGGAAATCCATCCTTTGGCAGGTGGTGGAAAATGCCCTTGCTCATAATCACTGAGCAGTGAGAGCAGTGGGTTTCCACTGACGTGCCTCTTGGAGGTGGGAAGGTGCCTGGAGGACGGGTGGGAGGTGAGTGTTCTGAGAATACCCCGGGGTAGGTAGGACAGAGGTGCAGAACAGCTCAAAGTTACTGGGGTTGGCTCTGTGTGTCCATGGGACAGAAAATGCAGAGGCTGAACAGGCAGCTGTGTAAGCACCCAGGGGATTTAAATGCCTCTGCACTGGGAGGAGCTGTGGGGAGCTGAAATCTGGATCCAAGTACTGTGAAACACCAACATCTCCTGTTAGGAATCATAGCCCTTGGCTTGCTTGTCTCTCATGGGATACGATAAGGGCTGTGCCTCTGTTTGGGGAGCTTTTTTCACCAGGTCCTTTTACCTCCGGCATTCTCAAGCTCACCAAGGGTTGCTGTGGGTGCCCACATTTGCTCTGCATCTCCATTACCTGATCTTTCAACACAGTGTTAGCAAAATGTTTTTTTTCCCAGGATGAGACTTTAATTCCCTTCCATTGATCATGGCCAAAGAAGAGAGCTCAAATGGAGATTTTATTCCAGAAACAATGGCCCCCTTATGTGCTGTGTTGTGATCTCTGTGAATGAACCTGCTGGTGAAATGAAGGCTTTTCCCCAGGCTGTTTTGTACCTTTCTCAGGTGAATCTTCCTATTAGGTCAGCCTGGATTCCTGCAGAGAGAGAGAAGGGAGGTAAAAGATGAAGTCTTTGTTCTGTGGGGACATGAGACAAAATGACAGTCAGTGGGACTTGGGCTTCATATTTAGTTTCCATAAATCCCCATGTGCCGCAGGGAGTTTGTCCACATTAAAACCTACAAAGCAAAGGGCAGTTTCCCTGCACAGCTGGACATGTTCTTCTGCCTTGTAACACTTCTCTCCAGGTCCACTCCAAAGCCTCTGCCCTGGGCTGGCTGCTCCCTTCAAACCAAACTGGTGGTGTCCTTCTGGCCTTGTCCTCAGCTCTGCTGGGGGCTGCTGCCTGTTCTCTTGGTACCTGCTCTC